CCGGGCCGCCGCTGCCCCCCAGGCTCCCGCCGCCGCCCGCGCCCCCGTCCACCCCGCCGCCGGCGTGCACTCCTCAGCCGGGACGCCGCCCCCGGCCAGGTCTCCACTTCCCGGCCGCGCCTCCCATGACAGCTCCCGCTCGAAGATGGCTGCGAAGGGCACGCACGGCGCCCACCTGAAGGTGGAAGGCGAGCTGGAGCGCTGCCGCGCCGAAGGCCTTTGGAACCGCGTGCCCGAGCTGGTCCGGCAGCTGCCCGGCGGCGGAGGCAGCCGGCGAGCCAGCCCGAGCGTGGGGTTCAGCGCGCAGGACACCGGTGAGTGGGCGCGGGGGAGGGGGGGTGCCCCGGCTCGGAGCGCGCGAAGTCGCCGGCGCCTCCAGGAAGCCACCCTGACTGCCGCTGCCAGGCCCGGGGGCGCCCTCCCCGCAGTGCCTGTTTTAGGCGCAGCCACTGCCCCAGGAGGAACTCCCAACTAGATTGGGTGCTCTGAGAGAAGAGAAAACAAACTTTCTTTTCTGCCCTTTGGAATCTTTTGGTAAACCCGTCTACCGCGCCGTGGTCATTGGGGGGCTGGACTCTGGCCCTCCTGGGTTTGGAGAAGTTCTGCAAACTCCATCAGGCGAAGGCTGCGACTGCTGACTATCTTCTGTCTCTTTGCCTTCTTTCCGTCTCCCCAAAGTGCAGGGTCCGCTTCCCAAAAGTCGGGGGGAAATGGAATGAAAAGATGGTAGAATTTTCCCACGAGCTTTTGGAAACCCTCTCCTAATTTGAAAACGGAGCTTCGTTCTCCACAGACACGAATAGGCTTCGAGGATCGCCAGGACTGGGCAGTGAAGTGGGCCAGAGGCCAGGCAAGCCTCAGTTTCCTCATCTGTGGCCCGACGGGGCCCCCATCCAGCTCTGGCAGTCGTGGCTTTAGCCGTCGGGCTGGTTTGGCTGGCCTGGCCTGGGCTGGGCTCTTGTACTGGGTGGGAATGTACCCTGATAGGGCCGAGGGCAACACCCACCACGGCCTCCTGTCTGTCAGTCCTGTGCCTGGGACTTTCGGCTCAGTCCCCCGCCCCTTCCGTGAAACACACTTCAGAGCTCTGTGAGGCAGGGAGTAAATAAATACAGATACAGAGAATTTTTAGACTGCCCAGGCTGTGCCGTGGGAAAGACAAAGTAAAGATCATAATAGTCATACTAATTCATGATGACACTTAGACACTTATTTGGTGCTCACTGCACGCCAGACACTGTCCTAAGCCCTTTAACCCACTCACTGACTACCCATAACAATTCCACGGTGGGGTGGGAGTGGGGAAGACAGGTCACTTTTCAGGTAAACTGAGGCACAGAGAAGTTAGCTTGCTCTCCCAGCCAGTAAGTGGCAGACCCAGATTTCTGAGTGCATTCTTTTAATCACTAGCACTGTACTGTGACCTCTCAAAGGTCCGTAGCTCTTGAAGAGCTGGCACGATGGATGAAGAGACCGGGAGGTAGTCAGCGGGCGGGCAGGTAGATGGTGCGGCTCAAGGGACCAGAAGAAAGCTTTAGGGAAGCAACAGACGTGGACGTGGACAGGCCCTGAAGGGTGTTTGGGAAGAGAGGAGGTGAGGTGGCAGGAGAGATGATGAGTCTGAGGTGTTGTGGCAGGTCTAGCCATGACAGTGAGAGCCAGTGACCAGGGTTGAAGGGCATGCATAGGGCCACAACCAGGACCCAAACTCAACTGCTATCAGAGTAGAACTACCGCTGTGGGTTTGGAGGCTACTTAACTCTTTCTTGAGGAGCACCTGGTGGTTTTGAACCGTCCACCTTATGGTTAGCAGCCCCACCTGTAACCCACTATGCTGCTAGGATTCAGGGGCCCCCTGACCCTCTGTGAGGCGCTGTGCTGTGATGGGGCTGGTGAGGGTGGGAATGGGAACTAAGCCACAAAGTGGGCATTTGGGCCTGGGTAAAGTACAGGAATCTGTGCCAGGTTCACACCACAGAGAAACCTGCTAGGCACAAGACAGGGCCGGAGGGTGGGGTGCTGTATTTCCTAACTTTGTCTTACGTTGGCTGAGCCGTTAATTAGGCATTGCAGGAAGAAGGGTTTGAGGGAGCCAGTTTGGAAAATGGAAATCATGGATTCAGTAGCATTTAAGGAATTTTTTTTGTGCTTATTGGAATTTTTTTTTCTTTATTTTATTTTTAACATTTTATTAGGGGCTCATACAACTGTTATCCCAATCCATACACACATCAATTGTGTAAAGCGCATTTGTACATCGTTTCTCAAAACATTTTCTCTCCACTTAAACCCCCGACACTAGGTCCTCATTTTTCCCCTCCCTCCCCGCTCCCCCCAGGAATTTTTTTTTTTTTTTAAGCTGCAGGGCTCGTTATCACTCTCACCTACTTGTGATGTAAAAGCCAGGTGAGAGTCTGAAGACCACATTTTCCAAACTCTCCTCGATGACCTCTGTGGAGCACTGACTGGGAAACGCTGGTGAAGTTACAGCTTATAAAGGGCTTTTTCTCAAGCCTTGGAAATAACCCCTCGAAGAGGCTTCATCGTAGTCTCCGTTTTAGAGACCAACACCCTAAGGCCCAGGGAACTCTGTGGTGGAGCCAGTTCCCTCCCCCTGGGGGACAGAGTGACAGAGATTGGGAGCCCCAGAGCCTGGGACCTGTGGGAATGGACTGGTGCAGGGAGGAAGATCCGGGGCACGGGGGTGTCTCCCGCCAACTTTTGGGTTTGATTCTGAGTGAATTTTCTCCAATTATTTAAAATCCAGATTACCATCCTCAGCTCACACCTGGGGCTGTGTTGCCCGCTGTTTCTGTTCTTTCTTGATCACTGAGGGGGTGGAGTGCCTGGTTTGTTTTGTGATATTAGGGTTAACTCCCCTTGTGGCCTTGGAGAGAGGGTTCTTAAGACCCCATCTGACCTGTTGGGGCAGTGACCTGAAGCTTACAAGCTATAGCATTTGTAGGAGGGGAGCAAGGTGCTGAGGGGAGAGGCAAGCCCCATTTTATAGGCTGAGGCCCCAAGGCCCCACTGTGCCAGTGAGGTGTCTGCCCGACAGGACAGGAGCTACAAACAGCTCTGGGCACCCCGACGCTACTCTCTCCAGGTGGGTCAGAAGATGGGGACAGAGTGTGTGGGCCTCCTTGGTGGGAGTGGGGCCAGGAGATGCTAATGCACCCACACCCTTTTCCTGGCTGGGGATGCCATCCCCCACCCCACAGAGAAGAAAGCCCATTGCTACTGTCTGTGTGCTGTCTTTCATGCCCACATCCCGCTCAGATTTGGTCAGGATGGCAGCAGGGGGAACCCCACGTGCGACTGGCTGTGATGGGAGAGTGCCCATGGGACAACCAAGAGCCCAGTACAGGCTAAAGAGCCCCATGGAGGGGAGAAAAAGAAAGTTTTGTTATGAAAAATTTCAAAACCACGCATAATGGAGAGAGCAGAGCAACTCCCGCGTAGCCATCAACCAGCTTCCGTGATTATGAACTTGTGAACCATCAACCGGTTCTCCTCAACGCTTCAACTCTGCAGTCAGTTTATGAAATAGGAACCCTTTGGAAATTTAACTGCAGAACCATTATCATATTGCCCCCCCCCAAAAAAAAAAAAACCCCAACATCACAATTAACTTGTATAGCTGGCTTGTTCGAATCAGGATCTAAATAACGTCACAGTGCATGTGTGGCCTCACATGGCTGTCCCTTCTCTCCCTCCGGAGTCTGTAGTCTCTGCCCCGTTGTTTGCACTTTTGCTAAAATGGAATGATTTTTTTAAAACATTTTTTAAAGGCAGCTCTGACATCTCTTCCGTTGAAGTCAGAGCGCGGGGGCGGGGACGGGGTGGGGATGGGGGGAAACAGGAGGCCTCACCTTGGGCCTGGCCTCTTCCTCCTCTCCCTTGCTGTGGCCAGAATGCCCAGCCCTGGGGGGTGAGCAGCTGGGGGGACCACTGAGCTCCCTTTGACTCCGGAAGGGCCTGGTTGGAGACCCTGGCTTCAGTTTGCAGGCTGTAAAGTAACAGGCTATGGTGAGGGGAGCACTGCCCTTCAAATGTGGGGTCTGGAGAGCAGGCAGATGCCCTGGACGTGGGGCCCTGTGACCAGGGCCCTGAGAGAGACCTAGAGAAGAGGAACTGAACAGGAGCCGAGAGGGTGAAGATCGTTGTCAGAGGCCTGGGAAACCAGAGGGAGGCAGGAGGCTCCAGGCTCCAGGCTGAGGCTCGGTGACCAGGGATGGTTGATGCCCGGGCTCTCCTTTGATTGGGCTTCTGCTGAGGACAGGAGGGACCTAGGCTGCCAAAATCACATCGGGACTCCCCCTGTCTGGCTTGCTGTCCTTCAGAAGGGTCTTCATGCGGCCCTGGGCAGGGGAGACCTTAGAGAAGTTTACCCAACCCGGGTAGCATGGTTTTGGATAACAGGATGCCCAAAACATCATCATGAACAACACATTTTGTTGCGTTGATTTAGAGACAAACGAGAAAGCCACTGTCTACCTAGATTTTAAATTAACAACGGAAAATCTAGAACATATCCTTCAATGACTTTCAGGTCTGTAAACTGACGAGTTGAAGAATAGTCAGATGGAAAGAAGAGGGCAAAAGAGAGAAGGGTGTGGGGAAGGAGAATTGAGCAAAAGAAAAGAAAGAAGCGAATCGCTGGCACCCGCTGAGTGACACAGTGGTGGCCACAGTGGACTCCAGCTATTGTGAGGATGGTTGTGCCCAGGGGTCAGAAAGGAAAGGACCCAATGCCATCCAGTGACAGCCGCCACCACGCATCTGCTAAACAAGAACAGGGAATGGAGCCGGGCGGGGCCGAGAATGAGAAGGCTTGCGAGAAGAACCTGATGTGTTGTCAATGGAATTGGCCGAAATCGACAGGCATGTGAGAATGAAACCCATTGGTATCCCTGTCCTTGGAATGGCTGGTCACGCGTTTGGGTTATTCCTTTTTAGAGCCGCCATGTGCAGCTCCTAAAGGAGTTCTCCGTTTCTACGCTTCCCGGAACTCTGCTCTCTGCGTGGGATTCAGGGGCGACTGGTTCCTTTTGAAGGAAGTCACCGACCTTACAATATGACACGGCGGTGGCTGCGAGCTAGCTGTCCAGTGCTTTGGAACATGACGGACCCTGGGATGATTTTCCTCCACTGTGAGCTTTCCGTTACTCAAGCACTGAGTGGCCCCCCTGGAGGAACTTCTCTTTTCAGCATGGCCCCCTCGCCCCTCTTCCGTCTCTAAGGGAAACGTGAGGAGACGGGTGACGTTCTGGTGCAAGCGTTGTGCCACACACGCACACACAGGCACAGGCGT